TGCACGGGCTCCAGCCAGGACTGGATGAGCAGCAGGGAGATGCGGAGCAGCTCTAGGTTCTGCAGGGGAAGGACCGGCAGTGGCTGTGCTGCCCGGGGCCTCTGACCACAGGTCTCCTGCATCCCTGCCTTGCGGAGAAGGCATCCACTCACGGATTTCTGCTGCCTTTCCTCCATGTTGGAGGGTGTCGGAATAGACTCTGAGGAACAGAGGGAGGTCTGGGGGTTCTGCAGGAATGAATACTTCTGTTCCTTTGGGATATAGGCTTCTTCCTGGGAGAAGGAACCCCCCCACCCCACCAACCAAGAAGGATCCCCGGTTTCTATGCTGGAGACCAGCTCCCATTGTTACTTTTCTGGGAACCTCACTCAGCATATGGTCATCTGCCTGCGTTTTCGCTTCAGAAAAGAATCCTGAGCTCCTTAGTCTCCTCCCATTACTTCCCAGCGGGGGTAAGTCACCCCTTCTTGCCACCCATGTCGCGCCCCCATTCCCCAGGAGCTTACAAACTTCTGGTAGGTGTCAAAGGCCAGCTGGTGCAGGCGATGGGCGTGGAGCATAGCGTTGTCAAAAAACCTGGGTAAGGGAACGGATTGGACGGCACCGGCCTCTTGAAGCCATGGCAGGCAGAGCAGGGCAAAAGCCAGGATCTGGGAGGTCCGGGAGCCTGGGGAGAGACCGGAGGGCAACGGAGGGAGCCGAAGAGCAAGAGGCTAGCACTCTCCCTGCCCCCGAAATTTTTTTTTTCTCTCTCCCCATCCCTTCAGGAATCAGGAACATTCTGAGATTGGCCAAAAATCTGGGCTTAGATGGCGATACTCACATTCAGAAACCCCAAACCTGAGGATTAGTGTCTCTGTGCCATCTACAGGGGCCGCCTCTTCCTTCGGGACACATCGTGCAGAAATGGATTTTAGGGGCGCTTACCTGCAGCCATTGCAGCTAGGTGGGCTGTCCACAGGACCCTGAGTGGTTCGGGGAGTTGGGCCTTGGGATCCTGGAG